TTGTAGAGATGGCTGGCTGGCTGGCTGCACTATGTTGTGTGTGGCTCCTTTGTTTGCCTTGTTTGTGCAGGCATAAAAATTTGTGCCTTGTTTGTCCAACGTGGGGTACAATCTGGTTTTAGTAGATCGTTGTTTTTTTTTTCTTTGTATACAGTATTTTTTGTACTGCTTATGGGATTTTATGTTTGATCTTTCATGATGTAGTTAAAAAAAAATTGGTTTGCTCTTTATGTTTATACAGCCTTGATGGAGATGCGCCTCAACGGGTAATCGGTCTTTTAGCTGTAGATGAGAAATTTAGCCAGTGCGGTACAACCGCTACCCTGGGATTTTTAACGTGCATCACGCAGTAGTGATCACACCAGGGTTCGTACAGAATTTTCGATACAAAATTCAAGGACTTTTTAAAGATTTCAAGGGCATCAGAAGACAAACTTCAAGGAATGTTCGAAGAAATTTCTTCGTTGAAAGGAGTTAAGAAATAAGCTCCTTTTTGGCAAGAACTTCTCGTTCTACAGCAGCTATAGCTGTGTGCTTTTCTTTTGCTGCTCGGCGAAAACTATTGGCCTTGGCCAAAAGTGGCAAGTCATTCTTCGCCTCAGCATCTTCTGAGAAGCATTCCGCCAACTCGAGCAGGCACTTCAGAGTTTTCTGGAGTTTCAACTTCCTCTCATGCATTCCCTCCAGCTCCATTTCAACTGCTTTTCTCTTCAAAATTTTCTGCTCACTGGCTGCTGTCTTCTTGTGCTCTTTCAAAATATGCAGCATACTTTGGCCTTGCTAGGCGTACAGAGGACTTTAACTCCTTCGACAGTGGAATATTGAGCAGGCCATTGTGGTTTTTGATAGCGTTTCGACAGGTCGCGCACTTCGCTCGGAAGGAGTCATTCGTATCTGGTCCCACCCACTGGCGATAGTCTTTGCGTTCCAGCCAAGCAGGCTGGAATTTACGCTTTCCACTCGGCATTTCGGCTTTCAATCTCGATTGAAAGTCTCTCACGCTCACAAACTTGATCCTCAACACAGTCAACGCAAAGCAAAAATGGCAACGACACGGGACGCTTTGAATTGGCTTTATCATTTAGAACAAAGGACATGTCATGTTGCCAGACGACACGGCATTTACTCATTTGTTGGAGGATTTTCAAGGAATGCAAGGATCGTTTCACCTTTCCATTGATATTTAAGGGCCCTTAAAAGACTTTTAACGAAATCAAGGGTATTCAAGGATTTCAATGAGCTGTACGAACCCTGTCACACGAACGCGTGCCGGTACAAAACTCATCCAGATCGAAAGATGAAGTAGTTTTCGTCTTCTGAGACTTTCATTTTGTCTGGCCGTGGAGAGGAGGGGGGGGGGGGGGGGGGGGGCTGTCGCCTTGTCAGGCACAGGACCAACTGGTCAGGCATGCCGATGCCTTTTGTGGAGGCCAGAGAACTGTATTCCTCGACAGGGACGGCGCCAGGATCTTCATAATGGGGGGGCAGTGGGGAGGCGAACCAAATTGGGGGGGGGGGAGAGGCGGTTGCTTTTAGGTGCTGTCGCCCACGGGCTTATGAATGATAGCTTATGCGGTGTGCTCATTGAAAAGGGAAATGCGTAGACACGAGGAGGAAGAAGGGGGGGGGGGGGGGGATATCACAGCAGGGACCTCTGCCCCCTTAGCTCAGACTCACAACCAGGTTTTGCTTCCCTTTCTGAGACAGTCCGGAATTCCCCATGACCTCGACTTTAACTAAGCTCCCCTTCGTTCACGTCTCCGGTCTCCGCTGAAGATAAGCACCACAGAGCGGAATACGGAGAGAAAAGCCAGCAAGCATCACAAAGGGAAGCTGCTTTTTCTAAAGCGCTTGATAGTTTACTCGCCCGCGGTTAGGGAGACATGAAGGCACCCTACCCGAGGTACGACTTCCAGTGGCTGGAAGTTAATAGAAAAAAAAAAAAAAAAAAATGCATGAACGGCTTACACTGGATCTTCAAGCCGACGTCGTAGGCAATTATTTGTGTACAACGCTGCTTCATCTTGGGGTGGCAGAAGAAATTTTAGGGGAGGCGCCCGCCACCCCTCGCATCCCCTTGGCGCCGTCCCTGTTCCTCGACGGTTGTCTAAATGAACTTTGATTTGATATATAAAAAAAAGCCCATTTAAAAAGAAAAAGTTGTGGAGCCCTTTTACTTCACGCGAAGATGTAGGACCAGCGAAGCTGTTATTTTTACGACATCTAGGAAGATGCCTAGAGGACGACTTCTAGAACAACCTCGAGGACGACGCCTAGAGGACGTCTAAGACGACCTCAACAACGACCTTGCGGACGTCTAGGACGACCTCTCGGACGATGCCTAAAGGCAATAACAAGGGATCAGGACCTATCTAATAATGCCAAAGAAGGCTGACTCACGCTGGTTGCCCTCTTTTTTTATTTATTAAGACTTACCACGACCAACTTGGTTTTCTGTCAACATCCCCGGACGCATCCCCATCCCCCCCCCCCCCCCCCCCCCGCCCCTTCCCCCCCACACACAGATTTTAGCGCATAAAGCGCGATCCAAACCAATTCGTTTTTGTGCGCGCATAGGCCTTGCGCTTCCCGGAAGTTGTGTATTTCATGACGCCGCGCTGATTTCTTGCGCCTCCCAGGCGCGCAGAAGAAAGTTGGGCGATTTTAACTTCTGAACGCGCACAAAAACAAGCTGTGACGTAGTAGGGCGCTCCTCTCCCGGCCAATCGGTTGAGGGCATTAATTCATTAACATAATCAATTCAACGAGGCAGTTGGTCGGGGGCAGCGATCGTGACGAGTGCCTTGGCCGTCCAAACTTGGTCCAACCCACCTTGTTAGGCCTTCCCACCGACTTGTAAGCAGCTCAATTCGGTTCCATTGTTGTTTTTGCTTCCGGAATCCGTGAATCGAGTGGCTTTCACTCAGAATCGTAGTTTCGAGTACGTATTTCCTTTCGTTTGCTGCTCGAAGTCGGGAGGAGCATGTAGAAGTATGACTAGGGTGACCGTCTTCCTCAACGCAGAAAACGGGACATGCCAGCGGCGGGCAGGGGGACAAGGGTTAAGATGGGGAGAAAAATTGTAATGAAATAACTGCTGTTATTTTACAACTCACCATATTGCACTAAAGCTTACTCTGGGTAAATATTCCCCGCGTGCATTCACGCCGCTTTCGGCGACAGTATGCGGCTGCTCATTACAGAAGTATTAACCCACTTGGCCCCACCGTACACGCCGCTTCGCGGCTACCAGCCGGCAACCCGCGCTAACCCAAGGCGCCGGAAAAGAAGTCCCATACCTAGTTTAGCAAAGTTTCGTCGATAATTCATTATTTTGTTGTTGTTGTTAATTGTAAAAATGAATTTCAAATATCGCCGATGGCTCGACAAAAAAAAATGTTAGAAAATAAAAGTAACCACTCTCCATAGATTGAACCTGGGTCCGCTGCGTACGAAGCAGACACCTTTTTTACGCTACCTTTCTTTTCTTTTTCCTTTATTGCGAACTGATGCTGTTCGTACCCATTCGTTTCATACGAGACCAAGGAGGTTAGAAGTACTAGGAGAGGGCACGTTGCAATATTAGTGAAGCCTAGTCATAAAAAGTTTAAACGATGTTGTGGCAACATGACCGTAGATCTCTCTGGCTATTGGTGCGCGTGACATGTCACGTGTGAGATGGATGGTTGATTGTAGAAGGACTCCTTGCAGGCTTGCACGCGCTCCGTCCGGTAGGTTTTATCACATCGAAGGCTAGACTGTGGTGTATTCTAGTACCCCATAGCTAGACGAAGGCTAGCTACGGTCACGTGATGTGGTCACGTTGGCATGGTGAGGAGAGTAAGGAGGAAAATGAGAAAGAGGCGAGGCGTCAAGGGAGCATGGCTTGTGGAGGCTACGCGGCCGACGTCATGCCCTTTCCTGCCCTTCTATTCTCCATGTACGAGACCCACCAAGTTTTGCGTCGTGCGTATAGCCATTTCCGGTCGAGATGCACCAGCTCGTGCGTATAGTTAACTCATATTTTAAAGTACCTACGGTCATTTTTGTAAAATATAGTTGTAACGAGTAGGCATAGTTTTGGCTTGCTTCAACTTGCTTGGTGCCAATTTCGAAACTATTCACTCCTGCGAAAACGGGACATGATTCTTTATTGGGATAAAAAGATGGAACGGCAGAAGCGGACCTCAGAAACGGGACTGTACCGGCCAAAACGGGACGTCTGGTCACCCCAAGTATGCTCCTTGGTCTCCACGTCGAAGTATCCGAGCGGTACACAAGTATGATCGTTCGCTTGGCGTATTCAGATTTATCTTTAGGTTTCATCCTATGCACATTTGCATCGTAGCAAAAGCCAAATATACTTTGCGAATTTACTACTGCTACGCGCAAAGTGGAGAAATACCTAGTTCCGCCACGTGATGCTGGCTACCACGTCACTATCGAGCGATCGCGTAACTCTAATCGGTCCTGCTCGGAGCATTAACGAGGAGCTTCAAATTGCCAATAAAAATATGCCAGCTAAAAAGTGAATTAGAGAATTTGAGTTAAGCCACTAATTGTTTGTGCACACTCGTTCCCCGACGTCAGCCTTGGTCAATTACATTATTTCATAAGAATATTTTTATTTTCAGCGTTTTGTTTTTCTTGAATATTTTCCATCTTAGAAAAAACACCCTGTAGAAGGGGGCATGTCGCAATGTGTGCTCACAATTAAAATCAACAAAAAAAAAACATGTACGCTCGATTTTTTTCTTTGTTTGGTGGGATGTTTGGGCGCATCGATTGTGTGTCAAAAGGCAGCAGTACAAAAAACCGCTACTTAGTGCCCCTTTAGATAAACACGCAAGGTTTCCAAGTTTAAACATGGAGTTTTCTTTCAAGTATTATGCCAAAAGCGAAGAATAAGTAATGTTACCAAATTTTATACCAACCAATAGTTCTAGATTCTGAATCGAGACAAAGTAGGCAATAGCTAACTCGGTGAAGAGAAGCCAGAATATTAAAGACCATTTATTTATCCATTCATCCAAATATCAGACCCGTGCCTAGGGCACAAAATTGGAAGAACAAGTACAAAGATGTGCTCGCTTGAAACAAGTGGGCGCTGCACCTTCCCCAACTGGGGACCGACGGAAGTCCAGTCAGAGCTGTTGCTACGCCAGTCAGACTTTGCTGCTAGACGGATTTGCACGCCGACAAGAGGAGTCGGCACTTCCGCCGTGAGGACGTCACACCCGACCCTTCCCACACGTGGACGATGACCGACTCCACAGAGGGAGCGTCACTGAACAACCGAGATCCGGGAGGACCTCATGCCGGAAGGTGTCGGCAAAAGCCCAGCTCCGCCGCTCTGACCGCTCGGCGAAGCCGCGGCGCTCCGTAGTCAGTCCTCCGGAGCAGGCTACAACTCGTCGTGGCGTCCTAGATGCACCTCCACAAACTCGTGCAGGGCCTCCAAGTCCCGGGCGCCGTTGAACTCAGCCGCTCTCTTGCCGTCCTTGAAGAGGACCAGCGTCGGGTAGCCCTGCACCTGCACGTGGGAGGCGCCGTCGGATGAGAGCGCTTCTTTGGGCTCGGCCGCAACGCCTACGCGATTGCCCGTTGGGAAGTGCATTCATACAACGCTCCGTTCCGATATAGGCTGGAAAAGGCTTTGTTTATTTTGATTCTATGGATAAAGTCGGCATAATTGGGATGCATTCCCGCGGCATTCTTCGAGGTTCCTGGTGGACGTTGCAGTTTTTTTCTTCCTTCATTATACCGGGCACTGTATTTGTGCCACTTCCGGCCGCTGTGACAGGGGGAGAAATGCGCCCGGTTGTTCTACCTCGGGTGTGCGACGACTCTCGGTTCGCTAGCGAGCAATTTCGTGAGAGCTATGCTCTAGAAACGCTCCGGTGTCATGCTTTTCAGTGTCCAATGCGTGCCGTCACCGACAAAATGTCAAAAGTGAAGTTCTTTAAATTTTCTCTATTTTATGTGGGTCCATTTGTTTCAGCCACAATCAAGTTGATGTCCAAATTCTTTTTTTATCTTCCTGCAAAAAAATTGCGCTTTGAAAAAAACAATAATTTCCACTGTGTCCTATTATAATCATAAAAGTTTCATTTTGAACCATATTTTGAAAAACACAAAGGACTGATATACTCTGAAAATGCATTGGACATTTTGAAGGTAAGTGACAATAAACTAATTGAATGTTTTTATAACATTTAGGCTGTGACAAACGACGCTATTCAGCCAATGCCAAAGGCACTTCGGGCAGTTGGATTAGACAAATCATAAACAGGCAAATTTTGTTTGGAGGTCCCCAAATTGCTGTTGGAAATTTTTGCATTCTGACATGTGAATAGGCTAATCTGCACCAGTGGCTTTTTGCAGCCTCCTGTGAGATATTTTGGGTAGGATATTTTGTAATATTCACAGTTGTAGTTTGTCCCCTATATTTGATATTTTGTACGATAGTAGTTCTCACTTAGCATATAGACCAACACGCAGGCTTGACGTCACGGAGCTGCGGCGGCGCTGCGATTGTGCCGGAGCCGGGTGGTGTGAGCAAAAGGGCGTGCATTTTGCATGGGTGACATGGAATTTCAGCATGCCGCAAAGCTGTGCAGCTGTTAATTGCACCGAAAGGTACAGCAAAAGTAGCGGGGTGAGTCTCCACAAGTTCCCGGTTGACTCTTTAAAGCGCAGAAGGTGGATAATATCCGTGGATAGAAAATAATGGTCGCCTCGCGCGGACGACAGTTTGTGTGGCAAGCACTTTCTTGAAGGCAAGTGTGGCTTCTATTTCGATCTCCGTCCTGACTTGCTTATGAGCAGGGAAACCGTCGTGTGATTGAGACCACCCAGATTTTGCTCCTACGGTGTTCGCGCACAAAGCACCGGCCAAGCGCTTGTCGGTGGCTCGCTACCGGTGCTGGTGGCAATGCGTTAGTTTTTCTGTAACGTAATAACATACTCGTTACTTTTTCAAGACAGTAACGGGGAACACACTTACATTATTTATTTAGAATAATGCGTACTACGACTTATGTTACTCGTTACATATTCTTTTCAAGAGCTCAAAAAAGTCATTCTTTTTTTTTTGTTTGTGCTTTCCTACTTTGTTTTAAATTCAGCCCAGACGCAGCCAATGCTATGAGCTGATGGGATTGATCGACAGCGTCAAAAACACACCATCATGGTGTCCATCATGTTTCTGTACTCACTGAACCAATCACAGGCAAGAGAGACCCAGTGCCTCGCTCTTTTGACGTTGCTTGATTGGTCCCCTTAGCCCGTAGCTTTGGCTGCATCTGGACTTAAGCGGAAACGAAGAGTAGGTGCCAAGTCATTAATTATTGCACCACACTCCACCCACCTTCAAAATTTCGCTTGTCTTTTCCGCATGCAAACAGTTTCACTTCAGAATAACCCCAACGCCTACGCCCTTTGTCCCAAAATTAAAAAACGCCGTCACAAAAAAAAAAAAAAAAGCTATTGTTACTGTCAATTTTTAAATAAAAAAGTAATGCAAAAGTGCGTTACTTTTTAACGGTAACACTTTCATTTTATTTTGAGGTAACATAGGTCGGTGACGCGTTCCTTTTATTTGCAAGTAACGAGTAACCTACTTCGTTACCTTTTTTGGGTAATGCCTACAACACTGCTTGCTATGCCCGTGCTACCAAGCGCAAGGAGACCGGCAGCAGAACGGAAGAAGCGTTACTGCTTGTCATGCTTTGCGATCATGAGGGTAAGAAAAATATCATACCTTGACTCGAAGGATGCTGTATGTATCAAATCAATTAATAAATACACTTCTGCAAACCCACAGTCTGCTGATCCCGCCGGCAGTGCAGAAAGCGGCTCAAAGTAATTGTAGGCCTCGAGTGACCTGTACACCTGCGCCATGTCGGCCGTGAACTGGCTTGGCGAAAAAACTAAATAAACGACGACGTGAGCCATCGACGTCGGTGGCAGTAACTTCACGTCGGAACACCAGTGGTCCTTGTTTATGGCGTACGAACTGTCAAAGCCTAAGGCAACGCCGTCCATGGAGTTTTTCTCGATACCGCTGCCATTCAGGCTCGGGTAGCGAGCTCAAATACTCGGGTATATTATACGACATACTTTGACAAGAAATACGACGCACAAATAACACTAGAAGCATCTCTAGAACGTCAACAATGAGCGCACACCACACAACGCAATGGCGAAAGCACGGAGAGTCAGGCCGCTTTTGCCCACATGGCTTCTAGGCATGCGCGGCCTCCCGGCCGTGTTGGTAAACAGAGCCGCACCACGTGTCGGTCTATATTGTGTAAAACAAAAAATGTGATTTTGAATGCTGTGTTCGCTTCACTAGCGTACAAGTGGGAGGCAGTAAAAGAGTTACAATGTGATTTTCATTGTTAGAGCTTCAAAAAATCACCGGTATCTAATGGAAAATAAAAAAAGCACTAAAGTTTGCGGCAATTGTAGATATATTGCCTTTCTCCAAACAAAATGCTGATAACAGTCAGATGTATGTCCGTGCACATCAAAGTACTCACTAAGTTTCTCCTGATTTTGCCTGTCAGAAGTTTTTCTTTTCTCCCATTACAGACGAGAAGTAATAAAAACTTCTAATGTATATTTGTGATGATCAGTGAGCATAGAAAGGGTCAGTAAACTTTACAAAAATATGTTTAATGTTAACATTAACGTCTGAGTACTGCAATGTATGTGCACATTCAATGCCAGGAACAATTGGCTTTCTTTTTTTTCGCTGAATTAAATGCCAAAGGGTGCCGAGTAACAAAACAAAGGGGGGCCCCCCTAATTTGCATAAACCAGGCCCTCGTAGCTGTTCATCCGGCCCCAAGTGTCAGAGTGTGGCAACGTGGCGGCTCATACCCCTGCTCAAGTACTACCGCCTGCTTGCACGGTGACAGCATACAGCTTTAAGGAACCAGACACGCATTTGCAATAGTGTCAATCGCCCACAAATTTTCATTAAGAACTTGCATCTGGACTTTGACCCCAACCGCTTTTTCCAGTTTCCTTGCTTCGATTATACAAAAGCAATTTTGTTTTCGGAGCAAGACTGGACGAAACGGAACGTGTGTGAAAGAAATCAGGTAGCTGTGTTCTTGTGTAAACGTGAAAGCTGTATTTAGGCAAATCCAGATGGAACATCATTATTCGATCAAATAATGATGTTCCATCTGGATTTGCCTAAATACAGCTTAAATAAAATTTGTTTTTTTCACCGAAAAATAAAGTACTGCATCGCCGCTCGGTCTCCGCCCAAATATAGTGCTAGCAGCTCGAGACAGAAGTTTCACAACTATTTTTTATCATACTTGTATTTTTTGGACTACAGTCCACGGACTATACACGTTTAAAAGCTACTCGAGGCATACTATCTACAGGTGCAAACTATTACCACGCGCTTACTTAGCCGAGTCGTCAGTGCGCTTGGCTCACACGCACGTGGCTCGGGTTCAATTCCTGGCAATGTATGTCGTTTTATCTTTCTTTGTGATAGTAGAGGATTCGGGAAGGTCGGAGAACCGTCTGGCCTATCCATGTTCAGAGTGCATAGTTCGAGAGGACCGAGGCAGAATGTTCTAGGCTCTCAGGGAAGGCTTAAAAGAAGTTGTGCCTTACTGTACGAGCCAGTCTCACCCCAGCACTCAATCCTCCTGCTATGACGTCTCCGACCCTAGCCTTTTTCTATTTTGTTTTGGGCACAACTTTACCCCATTAAATGTTTGCTTTCCTTCAGGCACTCGTCGCATCAATTGTCATTCGTGACACTACACAAAGACTTGTTTTTTCTACATTGTTCACTGTGACAAGACGTGAAGCATTTCATGAACAACGGACTATGTTAATGCTGATTTATGTACGATATGTGAGCTAATAGAGCAGGTATTTGTCATGGTGCGCTGCGTATGATAATCTTCATGTTCGGTACGATGAACTGTATATAGACTAGTGAAACCAAGAGAACAACGCTGTGAAAAGCAGAAAAAGGAGGTGGAGAAGGGGCAGCACGAAAAGGAAGAAAAAGACGACGACGACGAGGGGTGGAAGGTCAACGTGGAAGGAAGTTCAGGCCTTCTTGGAGCAGTCACCCAACCTGGGGAACTTCAATGGAATCCCGAGGCGCATGGACGATTTGCAATCGACGAACCCTGGACAGCCCAGAACAGAAGGCAGCTGCCACAAGGAAGAAGGAAGCTGCGTGATCCAGGACCACCGACTGCACATCCCTGTCATTGCTGAACACGTCATACACAAACTGGTCAAGTGCCTTTCTCAGCCCTACTCTGCTTGTACGTGAACTATGACAGTGATTTCATTTACCCTATGTGTCCCATAACCATTCCTCTTTGTACATATATCTCTTTTTATTTGATTATAAGTTATTTTTTTTCTCTAATCTTTCTGAACCTCATAAATAAAAGTTGTATCGGTAATCCTCTGTCTCGTCCTTCTGGCGAGGGCAGACAGCTCATCCGCACAAACCTTCTCACATGCAGACTCGGCACTATGTGCGGACTATGCATCGCATGCGGACTATGCACCAGGTGCCAACCATCTAAGCAAAAACTTTTATTTCTGACCCCAAAATTGCCCCTGCGGAAATACGGTACTTTTTGACACTTTGAATGGGAAAATGGGGTCCATTCTCGGTAGTTTGTGCCATTCGGCCCTATATATTTTTGGGCACCTTCGGACACCATTTTATCGTCTAAAATTTCCAAAATTCGGTCGTAAGTGATTAATAAGATAACGGTTCAATCTCAAAGTCGGCATCTGACTCGAGTCACTACCTCTACGTTTAGGCGGAAACTGAGCCCTCGATGATGTGTAGTTCATTCTTGCGAGTCAAACGGTACCGTAAATTTGTTTGGGATTTTTAGGATTTTTGATAAAAGTAACAAAAAGTCAACCTCATGTGTTCACTTATCTTAACCAAAAATATAATATTAGGAATAGTTTTTGGCACGGATAGCTTTTTGTTGCAGCGGTCACCTCAGAGAAATAGAAACTGGGTGTCCCACGCCACCAGCCCATTTGACCGGTACATTCACTGCGACCCCAAAAGTGGTTTCTCAATTTTCACCCAACGAGGTCGTGGAAGTGTCATGTTGTCGCCAACTGCGATCCTGGCAGTGCCGCAATGGCGGTGGTGCAGGTGGCAGACGCCCGGTCGCAGGTCACTCTCTAGCTCGACAGTGCACCGAAGCTCCAGCAGCAAAGAGTTGGGACCACGCAACGGCAGCGACGCCAGCATTCACTCCCACTTTTGTTGGGACTTCAAGCTCCAACCACCAGGATTGTGACATCCTGGTGGTTGGAGCGTAACACTTTGGCTTTTCCGACGTCTTTTGTTGCCACTCCTGGACCACTTTCGATGCACGGGCGAGACGGGACACCGGTCAGAAATGCGTCTAGGCGCCGTGGCGGCAGTGGGGAGGGGGACATGCGGGCACTCACCTCGTGGCTGTTGCAGAGGGCTTCGTAGACGGTGCAGTCCACCTTGGCAATTTTCACCTCTGTCCGGGCTGCAAACTTGCGCGCCAGGTCGTCCCAGGTCGGCGCCAGCCGCTTGCAGTGGCCGCACCTGCGTGCCCCGCGTGAGAAGGAAATTTTGACCATTTCGACGCAGAAAGCCTCGTTGGGAGCCCGTCGGTCATGATTCTGGTTCGCTTCAGATTCCATGGCTTCTTATTTTCTTCCGGTTTGGTTCGCTCACATGCTCAAAATATTGGTTTGGTTACCAGTTCAACCAAGTGCAAACCAGTTCAAACCGGTTCGTAACTCTACGTTAGAAAATGTTCACGCATGCATTTCCTGCAGCTTTTGTTGAGCATGCGCTACTCACAGTAGCTGGACACAAGGATGGAGTGTAACGTTTTCGTCGCACCGAAACAACATTACAGAATGAGAAAAACACGTAAAACAATTTGTTCAACATATGCAAACTACGCTGGGTCACCATACACACCGTGTATGCTCTTACTGCACGTGACGGTGCTGGACACATTTTTTAAATAGAAAGTAAAAAAGCTCGCTCCCTTTAAGGTCAATGTTTTGGTAACATGCCACAAGTTTTTTTTTATGAAAAACTGAGTCTGTAGAATAAAACCCGAGTTTCAATCAAATGCAGAGCGCACACTATGTAGGTACAAATGCTTTCATCATCATCCCACAGGGGTACAATTTCTGTTTTGTAACTAAGTCGAATATATCCTATTGTATCATAAATATAAGGCAAAAAAATTGTTTTTTTTTCCGACAACCATTTATTTAAAAACATGCCTCTTTAGTCCTAATCAGGTAGTAAAACAATTTTTTCACTCCGTTTATTTTTTTAAGGGATAATAAATGAATGAATGAATCAATGAGCAACAATTGTCAAATGAAAGAATTTCTGCATGGTCTCGGTACAAGTGCCTCATCCACCTTCTGTCTGACTGAAAACATTGCACAACTGAAAAAGGATGATAAGACAAACCACCCGACTTTGGCCAACACCTCCTAGAAATAAGTCTGCAGAGCTCCGAGTGGTTACGTCACAATGCCGGAACAAGGAAGGCCATGGCGCAACTACGCAAGAAACTTTCTATCGACGTGAAAAAAATTTTTATTCTCGAGCGGCGCGGTAATGTTCGTGCACGTTTATTTGACATCAATAACCTTTTAAAAGTGCAGTCTTGTACAATTTATTATATATATCATACAAACGTAATATACAACACGTTACCAAGGTTGGAAGTACCAAGTTTATATTTATGATTATCCCCGTAACCACGCGACTACGCGGAAACCCGCAGCTCCCCACACTTTTCGAATGAACCGGCTCCAATCATCTTCCCTTGTACGGGCTCCGATTCTGGTAAATTTCCGTTGTGTGGGAGCTGCTGACTGTCTAAAAAGGTACGTTGAGACATTTCAGGAGGGAAAGGAACCGAAAAAAAAAATCCAGTCATCGCCGCAGGGAGGGAGCACACACGAGCAAGAGATGGGTCGACAATGTTAAGCCTCTCATCCTGGTGCCACTGCTCTCTTGCGTGTGTGTGTGGTTCTTTTGATCCTCCTACCAGTCGTTTTTTTCTTTTTTTTTTGTCGTCACCGTAGTTTTGGGTAGTGTTTTTTTTTTTTTCTTTTGTTAGCTTGATACTACGGCATTTACGTGGATTCGCGAAACAAGTCCTGCTACGGTTTGAGTGACGAGTGTGGCAACTAGTCAACGGTGACACTGGACGATGACCTCTGTCTCGACAGAGAGAGACTTCCAGAAGGTCGTGTTCAAATGTTTTCGTGATGGATCTTGTGGGACGTATGGATACGATCGACAGGTGAGGAACAACTTATTTACGGGCTTTCTTGGTCATGTGGGACTGTGCTGTAGTCGATTTTGTTTTTTAAATCTCGTGATAGAAGGGAATCTTGTTCTTCATCGTTATCCGTTTGCTATTGCAGTTTTTACTGGAAGGTAAATATCAGGTTTGTGTGATTATTGAAAGTGCGTTGTTTGTGCGATTTTTGTAAGTGCGTTGTTTGTGCTTGTGTGTATAGACCTTTGCAGAAACAGCTCGCTGGCCGCCGCCATTTTGCGACTCGAGCGACCCCCCTCAGCCAGAGATTTCTGGCACCCGCTTGAGCTGTGGAAACCCGGTCAGCGCGACTCCCCACCTGCATTGTGTGTTTGGAGTTCGCCGACTTTCCTTGAAAGTGTTTACTCTATTTGCCTGTTCAGGATGCTTGCGTGTTTTTGTGATCTTCCATTGTGAGAACCAGGGAATACCAGGGCTCGTAGCCTGCTGGACCTTCGCAGGAAACGAACGAAGAGAGCGAGCGAAGAAAGCGAACGTCAAGCAGCCCGTGACGCTGGCGGTTCGACGTTCTTCAAGGATTATTTCCGTTGAGATAATCTCCGAAAAGCCTTCCCGGATATGTTCCCGGTCTTGGCGAGAAGTAGCTGATAGGGTTTGGGGTATGGCAACTAAATAGACACGTTCGTTCATTTGCTTTAGTGCTGTGTAAAAAAAACATCACTCTTCAAAACGTACCCCAAGACAAGCCGGATTCCGTCCGATCGTCGTGAAGTGACTATCGTCGACACTGTATATTGGATATGCTGTGTTATTTGAGACCTTTCTCAAATCCTGTTCGGATAACGCGGCACCATGGGGTACGTACAATATATGTTGTTCGATTGATGAGACTCGTTGAATTTCATATAGTGAGGGCGAAAATACCCATGCAGTTCGGCTATCCTCTGGTGTGGTCAAATATGTTAGGCAGTTAAGATCTTTGTAGGTTGCCACGGCTGAGTGTATGGTGCCGTTAAAAAGATCAACCTAAAATGAAACAAACATCCCAGTTGCATTTGTTCTGTCGCGCATAGACTCGCCGAAAATAGCTTTCATTTGTTTGCTTTTGTTCTCAAAAATAGTTCTACGCTTTCCTAATAATTTCGAGAAAATCTTTTCGCCATAGAACACAAAAGAAAAAATAAAGCGAGGCGATTTTGGCGCTACCAGCGTTCGAAGTTTCTCCTACGCAGGCTTCCACAGCCTACTGACGAGAAAACCCACAGCTCAGCGCAGTCGGGCAACACTGACGTACACTCTCAAAACCAGGGATGCGCGCTGGAAATCGCTTCGTTCGAGACTGCCGCTGGAAAGGTCTATATACTAATGTTATTTTGTTGCCCTTACCACGTTTATACTAGAATCTTAACTGTATTAAGGTAATAGTATTATTGTATACAAAATAGGTTATACAGTATAGACCACTTACAACGTAACTGCTTATAGTGCAGGACTGGGTATAACGCGGTTTTTTTAAACCACCGGTTCACCTCCGATAGAACTCCATGTATTTACATACCACTTAAAATGCAGGCGCGCCAAGGGAAATACCGGTTATAGTACGGTTTTTGGCACAGCCCGCCGACCGCGCCGACGACCGGAGCAGCGAGCACGCTTCCCTGTGCGACACTAGATAACGGCGCTGACGGCTCGGGGCGAGGATGTTGCTCGAAGAAGTGGGGAGAAGAGAAGAGAGAGACTTCAGTAGGGACGCACGCACATGTCGTTCACGTGCGTGCGTTCCTCCGCCCCTCCGCTGCGTGGAAACAAAGAAACAAGCAACCGCACCGACAGACCAATCGCAGATTGAGGAGAAGTGTTCGTGCGCGTTGCATGCCGGTCTGCCGGTCGCGGGTCGGCTGTTTCTATCACTTCTATCCGCGAACATGGCGTCGGTTGTGATCGTCGTCGTAGACGGCGGTCATCTCATTGTTCTGCGTAAAAGCGCTATCCTTGACTGTGAATTTTCGTTGTGTGTCGCTATGATAACCCAGCACGTACTAAAAGGGAAGATCCACCTACTCGTGCGGCGATGTAGTGGCGGCGCTGTCAAGACGGCAGAAATGCCCGCGTCGTCGTGTTTGTTTACTTCGACTACAGCGGTGATTTCTCAGCATTTGTGTCCTCGAACATCGCCCGGATTTCTTATTTGGCGCATTTCATGCGTGTGCTCAAGTTCAAGGTATTACTGGCGCGTACCGTATGACAGATGCGAATTTTCACGTGTTTTCATCTCCGTAGAAAAGTGATTAGGGTTAGCAATCCTGACCGCTCGCAACGTCCGTACGCAACTCGCGACGCCGTTAAAAGGCCGCGCCAGGCAAAAGCCGCTCATTTCTTTCAAAATGTGTGACACACTTGAGACAGAACTGTACTAGTCTGGTGAAATAAAGACCTTCCTCAAACTAAGCTTTATTTTTCATCTAATATAGAAATAAATTCTTTTACAAAGGTAAGTTGTCTGATGGCATGTATTTTGGCCTGAAAAATTGATGTTTTGGTTATAGCGCGGTACCGCTTATAGTGCGGATTTTCGCGACTCCCGCGACATACGTTATATGCGGTCTACACTGTATTTTGTTCTTAGGCAGCTTGAGCCCATAGGGAGAATTAAATTAGTTGACTGTAAATAGTAAGTTTAGTACCCCAGCCACACAGAAAAGTTAATATATTTTTGTTAAATAATGCGGGATTTAATCAGCTCGCTGTTTTGAGTGATTATACGGGCGTCGCGAGCTGATTTATCGGCCCCATATTGTCATTCGATCGAAATTACATTAATTTTAATTCAGTGACTGGATGCGATAACATCGCTTACATGATCGTAAGTGACACTTGCCGAGCCGTGTCCGCATTGGCTACGTCTACCTGATTTTTAACTGATCTGCATTGCTGTGTCCAATCGCTGCGTGTCTCACCATTTTGTCGAAGTAGTATTTCTGCATAAAACATTCATTCCTACAGCAATAATTGCATGACCCAATGTTTTCGACTTAAAACAATCCCATTTTTCTATAGACGTCTTCTAGACATACCTCGTGCCATTTCGTACCGATTATTAAGCGGGGTAATGTTTTGCCCGTGTAATAAAGTGTTTCTTAGAACCGTTGCTGTGTGCAGCTTTCATTTTAGCTAATAAGACGTGCGTATGTGATGAAAAGCGCGTTACGACGGTCAATCCACACACAATGACTTCGCTTCAACGCACACCCCCGAAGGCCTTCCTTTGCGACGTCACGAGAAG